AGATGCAATCGCACTTGGCTGATATTATTAATGACTTAGAGATTAGACTCTTCCACCCGGCCGCCTTGACAGCGTCGCTTTCTTGATGCTTTCCAAAAGAGGACACGTGGGAGGCCTCCAAGGAGCAGAGTTCACGTGACTTTGTGTGTGTTTTTGTGGCTCTGAGTCAGTGAGAGGAAGACGGTTGATTTTCTTAGACACAGCTGTAAAGTAAAGAGGGGGAAAGTTTAGGACATTTTTACGAGGGAAGGAGTTATGAGGGAAATGAAGTTTCAGGGGAGAAACATCATCACAGTGAAAAAAGCCCAAGACATTATAACATTATTACAGGGCTAAAAATCGTCTCTTGTCCCAGAGGTGCAGCTAATAATCCACATGTGCTAAAATGATATTTCAAAGGCAAGGACATCCTAATAACTAACATAGCGCCAAAGGCACATTTTGAATAGTATTTCCAAAGTTTTCTGAGAAATGTTCTTTGTGGCAATGATTTTGTAAAAGTGTGAGAACACGATGACTTGAGAACAGAAGCTTAAATCTTTGTTCTGCCGAAATACATGTCATCCTCTGTCTTCTACTCGGAAGGCGGGCACGACGGTAGGCCAATAAAAAATATTGATTTTGCTGCACCTTTTGACAAATGAGCTAGCTCTAGGAATATTTGCAGCACATATATAAGAGATATAATGAGCTTATTTCATAACTTATTTGGTCAAATAACGTGTACACAGTGACGTACATTGAGCAGTGTGTTAGTATCACGTTAGTAACAAATGTTTTCCTTGCTTTCAGAAAGCACACGCAGACAGAGTATTGTGAATCATTTTAAAAATCATTAAAAATGGCAATCACAGACGCACTAAGCGCTTTGTGGACGTAACTTGTCATGACCCGAGTACAAAGAAGAAACATTGTTTAGCTCATCCTACATTTCTGTCATTTAATGAGCCAGAATTAGATTACATGGACAAACACACATGGAGCATTTGCATAATCCCCCAGCCTGAAATTCAGTTACAATGAATTATGACTGAGCCAAATGAGTGTGTGGGGGGACGGGGGGGGGGGCGTGTCCTGCACTTTGTCATGGGAAACATCCATATATATCACGTTTCATTGTTTTGCTTGAGGTTTAAACGCATATCCTTTCTTTTTGGGGCCTTGGCATGTCAAAGGGAGCTTGTTGTCCACTTTCGCTAGTTTTTCAAAATGAACCATATTTATCTCTTGTGGCATGTAATTGTCAGGAATTGATGCCTCAGGTAATACAATCATAGTAGCAAGTAGAGGGAGGGAAAGGACACGCATGAACAAATGATTACGCGCTGGGCTATGAATAGCCCTCTTTTACTCCGAGGTGGGATTGTTTTCAATTTAGCGGAGCTTTTTTAGGTTCAAACAGTAATCAGCAGGGTTACAGTAATTATTTGATTCAAATGTGTCAATTACACACCTTATCAGAAAAAAACCCGCCATTGTTGGAAGGTGTTATCCTAAAGTGATATTTGGGATGAGTAGTGCATCCCACGTCTTTGGCACAATACCCACACGCCCTCCTATGTAAGCTCCCACGCCGCCGCATTGAAGCACCTCAAGAGGCCACTTTTGCAGTATCAGTGGCGGTGCATCTTTTCACAATAAAAGCAATTTCATCACTGTTACCCCGGGAATAGGATCATCGGCATTCAAAGTATCTCCTCTGTCTGCATGACAGCATGTTTGCTTCAAGTGTCAGTCGACGTGCATCAAAACTCCTCAACGCTGCCGCCAGTGTGCGTCGCACTAAAATGTTGGAGAGAGGACGGATGTGCATCTCTTAAACAGTCAAGAACCTACCTGGTGAAAAACAGAAAGGACTTATTCGTATTTAGTCTTGTTCACAGGACTAAATATAATATGCATTACACAAATTTGGCATGACAACAGCTGATAAGTTACAATTTGTTGCAACAACAATAATTATTCTCACTTCCAGTTCTCTTAAAAAGAGTGCTTATTGACAGACCTCCGTTAAGTTGCACAAGTGTTATTTTTTTGTTTTTCCCTGTGTACCGTATACCTTGTAGTTTCATATTGGATGTTTTACGGTCCACCTTTGCATTGTTCTTAATAACTCTCCATCCCACTGGAACCATACACCGCAAAATTTCTTTAAAACCCTTCCCGGATATCATTCCTTCCTCCGCCTGGGGTGATATGAACATCCAGGAAGCTGTGAAGCTAATGGTCGGGCAACCCATGAGCGTTATGGCATTCATCTACGCCCTCACTTCGGGATAACCAGCTCCCTGAGTCTCACCGCAATTTAGTTCGGCCTCCGAAAATAATGCGCTTACCTACTGTGGTGAGCTGCAGGCTCCCTACATAGCTTATTTCCCAGTGTCCCACACCCCCACACGCCAAAACACATCTTTTCACACTGCATCGTGATGTCTAACCTCCCACTCTGGTTGCTTCGGGGTCAAATTAGAAGGCTACTCTAATAATTTGTTCCTAGACCGATATCCATACAGCGGGTTGTTTGTTTTATCCCCTGAGCTGACCGGATTTCGGGATATATAGCTTTACATTTCTATTTAATGTGTCAGATGATTGTTTTTACTGCTTTTACAAAAACGGAATTACATATCTCTTGTACCGCAGTATTGCAGAAAAAAGCAATATATACAGGATGTCTTCTCATCTGTGTCTCCACACGTCATTCTGTGTGTTTTGGGGTTCCCACTCCAAGAAGTTGTCGCTCACCAAAAACGTGTCAGGCTGTTTAATGAGGGCATTTCTCCTGTGATTTGGCCCTATTTTAAATTGCTTCCCAACTCTTGGTCAGTAGAGAAGAAACTAGTGTTGCGTGTGAGAGCGTGCATGTACATAAATACTGGGTTATTTTTCTGTGTCTGTGTTAATGCAGTCATAGTTAAATTACTGGTACTTTTCAGTCATTAGACCTTTAGACCTGACCAACTGGCGAGGATCACCAAACACCCTCCCTCTCTGAAGGTGAACTTCCATACTCATAAGGATAGAAGCAAACACCAGTTTGCTGTTGTATGGGTGAGAGTGAGTGGGCATTGCCTTTATTAAGTGTAGTCATATACATACACACTGCAGGCCCAGACCCCCCTGCCTGAAGTGACTATCGTGTTCCCCATTTGCTGCAGCTTTTATGGCCGGTACTGTGACCCGAGAGATTCAGATCAGCTTTATCATCCAACACCGGTGTTTTTACAACGCCTCCAGACATGAGGACACCATTAAGTCCACAGTGAAAGTTTGGTTTACAGGCTAGTGGCTGTTTGTCGGTTAATGCCATTGATTTTTCCTGATTTGGGCTTGTGATATGTTTTGAAAAAGGTTCTCCTATGGTCAATACACACCACATTGATGATGACAAAACTGGATTTTATCTTAAAAACGAATGTAAAATGCATGTCGGGCTGGGGGAGGATGAGATGGAACAAACAGCATCTGCAACAGACTCAGACAAAATAGCGAGCAGTCTGACTCTTATCTGATTCATTTTCCTCTAATATTACCACATGTCCCTGTAGCCACGAGGAGCTCCTTGGGGATCACCAGACTTGTTTTGGGGTCAGACTGGAGTTTTTCTCTCTTTTTTCATTATCACTAACAGTCTACTGTATAACTGCATAATTGAAGTCGAGACGCCGAAATGAGAGCAGATAATGACCCCTGGAGGTACCAGAAGTAAAGATATTATTTCCGTGAAACGCTATTAACAAAGAGAAGCGCTGAATTCTGCAAGTTACTTTACATTTTGGCTTCGGCGTAATGAAATACAGGGTTTTGAAATGTGTTGTTATAAAGTTTCTGCTCCAACAAGCCAGTTTCTTTGAAATCTGATGACATTCAGGTTTGGGTTAGAGGTCCGCCGCTCTGATGAAAACCTGCATGGCCTGGTTCCAACAGGTTCTGCTCTTCATGACAGAGACCTGTCGAGGTGAAACATATTCTGATTAAAAGCGACTTCAGAGAATCTCACAGCTGTTGAGCGTCGAAAATCACTGAAAAGGGAAAGAAAGGGAATTTTAAAAGACCCACGCCTCCATCAATCACCACACTGCAGGAGAAGGCAAGAGCTTTGGCACCATCTCTGATCTGTGAGGTATTCAAGATTGCTGCAAGAGAACTTTATTATTCCAAGAGGTGTCAAAGAAATGAAACGTAACAGCAATGCTCTCTGGGCATCTCTAGCACGCTGAATTCCACTGTAAGAAAATGGCCGAAACATAAGTTTGTAAATGCAAAGAGACTGTAGAGGAGAAGTTATTGGTGCACATCCAGAAAAGCGCTCTTTAATCTCTACTGCATTGAGAATGTTGTGTTCACGGAGTTGTTGCTCCAGGGCCAACAGTCATTGGTGGAACAAATCATTCTAAATGATTTCAACACATTTTACAGACAAATATCAGGAGGCTTTGTGATATGCATCTCGACCTAACTTTTGTCACAGTTGTGCGATTGTCGTTAAGACGAAGAGCAATCAGCAACTCGAGGGGTTGAACTAATAAAGAAAAACTGGTACATAATTGAGTCAGACTCCAGACCCTAAACCAATTACGACGCTGCAGTGTGACCTGAAGAAAGCCACCCATGCAAAGTATTGTAATAACAGCGGCTGAATGAGACTGTGTGCAGGATTCCTCCTGTTTGCTCTGCAGCAGCTAAAGTAAACAAACAAAAGCCTTCTTGGCTTAAAGCTCCGCAGATTTCCCCACTTTCTATCTGTGCAGTGGTTTGCGTGGTTTGGTCAAATAACTCAGTCACAAACGCTACATGCCAGGATAGAATGAAAGCCATGAAAGGCTCTAAAGAGCATATAAGATGTTCACTGCATCCACGTTCTGCATGCATAAAACATAATGTTTGTATGCAGCGAATGTTTAATGCGTAAAGACCTGCTGTTTTTTTTAAATCTGCCCGCCTCAGGGTAAAAACCGTCTCCCGTCACGTTGCTAATCTTGTGTATTCCTCCTTTCCAGCTCTAACAAATGTCAAGCTGTGGGCCATCGACCGACAGTGCTTTCAGACGATCATGATGAGGACGGGTCTCATCAAGCACACGGAGTACATGGAGTTTCTGAAAAGGTGAGCAACCCCTATTTTTCGACAGACAAATGGCCCTGAATAGGACTTTGATCTGAAATGCCATGAATTCATTAATTAAATGAATAAAGGGGAATATTTGTGAGCTGTTTCCATGAGGATTCCATATTCATTTTTAACAAACAAATAGTCCAAATTGTGTGTCACCGAAGGTGTCATTCAACTTAAAAAAGAGACCGTATCATCTTTCTTTAGTGTCCCTCTCTCTATCAGAGCGCTCAGGATCCTGACCGCCAGAAGCCTATTATCACTTAAAAGGCCCGCATGGCGTAAAGGATAAAAGGAAAGACTCATCAAAAGACGGAGAACAGTGTGCAGTGATCAGCATGAGATTCAATTCGAGTATAAATCCATCTTCCCTGTTTGACTTTCCTGTTTTCTTTCATCCACTTTGGTCTTCATCAAGCCAATTATGAATAATGCACCACATCTTTCCTATATTTCAAATGCCACACCGTTTCCCCAGGACTTTGTTTCAGGGCCGATATTAGAAGATACTTCACTTCTTCTCACATGTCGCCGGATGTGTTTAAAGTTTCCAATGAAAGAAGCACAAGCTCCACTCAGGATCATTTTGACTGAACGAGGCCGCGTTAAAAACTGTGATCAGGATCAGACTGACACTGTTTGAAGGATTTTCGTCAAGACATCAAGGAAACGTACTTTTTTTTTAATGATGGGGAAAGATCACAGGAAATGTTAAAAAGTTACCACTGTACTATTGTTATATCGCTCGTAGCAGAGTGACAAAATGTCAATCCCTTTGTACACCCGGCCATACACGTTCACCTTTACCTTTAGATCTACGGCAATTTGAACTTATTTTCTTTTGCAGCAGTTGAACAATTTCACACAATTTCCGCTTTTGCCCCTGAGGGTGGACTATAATATTCACAGTGATGTCAGATATCGCCGGTTTGGGAAACATAAACACAGGTTTTTGACCATAAAGATAAAGACAGTCTCCCTGGACAGTGTAACAGTCTGCAACATGTGCAGGACATTCCCAATAAAGCCCTTTTTTTCTGTATCTCCAGTACCCTTTTCATCATGTGGGAAGATATTTAACGGCAAAATATATTTCCAACCACATAAAAAAAACACCATACAAATCTAACTTTGATGCTCTAAGACTGAAACCACGTACGTGATGGCTTTGACTAAAAAAACATGTACCGTATTGCAGCTCTGGCCTTTTAGCAGCTCTTATATAACAGTGCAACAGATAAATGAATATTTAATATATATTATTGCCTGTGCTTTATGGGTGGGCGGGTTGTGGTGTGAGGATGGGGGGTAGATATTTATAGCATCAATAGTTATTGTAATGTAAATGATTGTATGTGTTGCTTATCGGGTCTAATAAATGAGCCGGCATTAATTAGACCAACATGCACGCTGGTCCCTGGGTCTTCTATCTACTGTTAAACTGTATATTCATAAGTTGTAGAGGGGGAACACATATATAAACCTGAGAGGGAAATCTCACATGTTATTACATACTGGAAGTGAGTGTATTTTCAAAGACCCTTTTTTACTACCTCTTTCTAGCATGTATTATAAATCACTCAAGCCCATTTCTCCGAGAAGGAACACTGTGGGGGTAGTGTGTGATGAACTGACAAACATCACCTAGATTTAGAAAAGTGCACATTGCTGTGACTTTATATTTTTAGAAGGTTGGTGGGCTATGAATCTACCCTCTGCCCCCTTCACTTCTTCACTTTTAGTTTAGCTATAATGTATGGAATAAAAACCGAAGAATATGAAATATTAAAAGGCTCTGGAAATGAGCAGAGGAAACCAAGTATGCGCTTGTTCTCCAAGCGTTTACTGGATTGCTGAAGAAAATATATTTAAGGTCGTCCCATGATTTACTCCCATTTGAACAAGTTCCATGAGTGTAATAACATTAGAATGTTCAAAAGGAACAAAGACACCACATTACAGAAACCACTCTTCCCAACTGGCCTCCATCAATTCATCTCAAGCAACACAATTACGTTTTTGGATTCAAATTTTCCTACAACAGAGGCTTTGCAGCTCAAAGGATTGAAGCTCCACATGTTTCGTGCAAAGTAGGTTCAGCTGATTAATTGGAGCACCGACCCAAAGGACGAACACGGCGGCTAGGGGCCCGAATCTGTGGCCGAGGCAAGATGGTTCCGATTAGTGTATTAAAGCATGGAAAACGGGGGGGGGGGTGAAGGGAGATGGAGGAACACACAGAGGAGAGATGATCTAGGGAGATATGCCTTTTGTTCACCAGCAGGAGCTGTTTTTTTTTCTCCTTGATAAACATTGCGCCAGTTTTATTTAGTAGGCTCGATGACAGGCAGATAGCGTTCTTTTAGACTGCCCGGAAAGCAAAGTGAACAAACATCAGGGCCTCATGCTGGTGTGTTCAACCCAGGATCTGATTCCCTGCTGAGTAACTAGACTCTGCTGCTTATGCTGGAATATTCATATGCATCATCTGTAACACAATATTTACAGGCCAACTGCCACAGCATCATATAATATTATATTGTTATTCTCTACAGATCAAAGCTCTTCTTTGAGTCTACTTTCCAAACCATTGCCCATTATTTTGGAGGAAAACATCGCATCTGATCTAAAAGTGCTTTATTTTTTCCCTCCTGCAGCGTTCCCACATTCCACGGCCTGCAGGAAGATATTCTGAGCAAGCTCGCCGATGTCCTTGAGGAAGTAAGTGCCTTATGCTAAAGCGTGTGACAGGTGCAGCACAAAGCCGATGTCACAAACCTTCTCCTCCACACATCCTAATAGATTTCCATACATGCCCTTTATTTCAATGCAGAGAGAGAGCGATGAGCCAGAAGGGAAATGAAGACATAATCCAGATAGTGAGCTCCGGGTGATGGCAGGGGCAGATGGTAGGGAGGAATTAAACAAATAATCCATGCGAGAACATCCATTAAATGTCACCATGGTAAACCTACTTCAACCACGTAATATTCATAAAGTGAACTTTGTATTTTGTAAAGTAATGTAAACCAATCTTTTGAGATGTTTCTCAACATCCCATTTTCTACCCTTGTGCACACCGCTTCTTTTGATGTTTTTGCCGGTATAATTTAGTAATGCAAGCACATTCCCATTTACACTTCTGATGTGTGCTGGTAAAATTAGGGCTTTCAATATGTTGAATTGCATTCAATTTCAATGTGAGTACATAAATAAATCAAATGGATTTGAGCCTGATCCTTAGTATTTCAGAAAGGGTAAAGCACATGGATTATTCAATCTGTTGCAAAAAGGGGTAATGATACACGTATCCACAGGATACTTGACTGTGTAATGTTTACGCTGTTGGGGTGGGCGTTCTAGTACAAATTCGATGTACACTTTATGAGCATACATACTAACGGCATTCACTGTAAAATTGAGCCTACGCTTCAGACACATGTAATTAGTTTCCCTTAAAACTATAGAAAAGGTAGCATCACATCCGATTATTCATGTTATCACATCACCCTTGTATGAAAGCATCTTACGGGAACAGTGGCAACAACCATTTTCAACAGATGCAAATGAAAAAATTCCACACAATGTGCTTTTCACAACTCCCACATGGTTTAACAGAGGTGAGAGAGTCTGCCTGAGCCACTCCTCACCGGTTTGCATTCAATGCCAGTTTCTGTAGCCGGTAGCTACGTTAACTCTGCCGAGCAAGTTTCACTGTGTGGTCCTCTCCAAAAAATGCTTGAGATTCTGAAAGTCTGTTGTTCAACCCAATACCTCCTCCAAAAAAAACACACGGGAAACGTCTCTGACAGGCTAGCAATTACCTGCCTTAAATGTGATTCATTTTACCACATGTTTTATTAGAACGATATTTGTGGAAAGAGCTTTTATTGTCGGCTTCGGTTTGCTTGTTGTTGTTTTCACCAACTTGACACGGGGAGACTATCCACTCATAACTGCCTTTTGAGTCAAGTGCAATTAAAACACTTTTTAGATTGTAGAAAATTCTGAAATAAAAAGGAGGATATGAGGATGGCCATTAGCAAAACTATTTGGCAATGAGATGATAATTTTGTGTTGGCTCAGGGATGACATACGCATGTGAGTAAGCACAGAGAACACGCCATGTTAATCAAAATGTATCGTTTTGCATTACATTCTAGACATTTATATTAAATGTGCTCTGATTAATGGGTTTGCACTATTGACTGAGGGAGATATTAGTGGTGGGAAGTTAAATTCATTTGTATTTAGCAGCTGTTTTTTGCTGCCAGCATGCACAGCCAAGATTTCTAAATATTGGTGTGCGTTTTCCCCCCTAAACAAGCAGAGGTCTTATAGGTTGATTGTGCACATATGGCTAAATCCATTGTGCTTTCCTATGTCTTATCTACTATAATAAATCATTTGTGTCCAATATTTTTTTTCTCCTTGAGGACATGCTTGAGAAAAACGGTCACATGATATAAATGGATAAACTTTTGAATTTAACATCATAACTGCAACCTGCTATTAACAAGAAGCTCGCTGCTCAGTGGGAAGTCAAATTGTTCGGTACAGTAGGTGAAATGGTGTGAGAATGGTAACCTGGCATTGTGGAGTCTGCTTGTGATGGAGATGCTAAGGCTTTGTCTTCGCTCTAGACTTTGTGCAGCTTCTTGTGTGTGTTGTTTGCTGAGAACATCAAAATCCCATCAAAACGTGAGTTATGAAATTCAATAACTGATGCCTTAAGGGTTTCAGGGCCCCTCCCTCTAGCGTCTTGGCCTTTGGTCCTGAAGATAATGGTGTACCTTGACGCTGAGCTTTCTCCATGAAACAAGAGGTTTTTCACATTATATGAAGTTATAGATCGCATATCACGCGCAAGGAAAGTGTTTTTCTTTTTCCCTCAACCAATGCATGCTGGGATATGCCCCTGGCACCAAAAACCCTCAAAAGGAATACTTGGTGAAGAAAATGGATTGATGGATGGATCAGTTTCGCTCTTGAAATTGAGATGTAATTTGTATGTTTGGTTTGATGCAGCTCTATTCATTTTATTAACTATTAACACTGCTTCTGTACCTGCTCATTGGAGGTGACGGGGCATATCCAAACCCCCCCCCCCCGCGCACAGCCGGGCGGTCTCTCTGCTACTAACAAGGAAAACGCATCCCGTTGTAATTTTTCTCACTGTCCCTGATTGTGCCTCGCTTCCTCTGAAGGGTACACGCCGGTCTGACGTGAGAGAGGTCTCACTCCCCAATGTGTGGGAAGGAGGAAACAAAACAATGGCAGTGTGACCGAATAACATGTCTCTTCTCCGGTCTTCTCTTCTGACAGACGCATTATGGAGATGGAGAGTACATCATCAGGCAGGGGGCCAGGGGAGACACCTTCTTCATCATCAGCAAGGGAAAGGTGAGAACCGTGCTTCAAGGCCGCCTCCAAATCCTCATGACAGACGCCTTCCTTCGGAGCAAAGTGGTTGTATCTTTGGGTGAAAGTTGGCCGTCGTCAATTATCTGGAGATAAGGGGGATGCCGCCTCTGTCATCATCTCCCGCAGACGCTCTCGGAGAGTCTGGAAAGGAGGATGGAGTCACTTTCATTTCACCCTTCTGTCATCAACACTGGCTTTCCCGCTACGCACACGTCGTCAGCCCTGGTGGGCTTTCATGTGCAGCTACTCTTATTTCTTGGTTTTCTCATCTTGTTTATTCTCCTCATGATGCTCCTTCCACTGTTCAAGGTCCTCCGCCCATATTGTTCCTCCTCCTCTTCATTAGGTGGATGGCCAGAGGAAATGACCCCAAATTTTGGCATCCCACAAAACCCGACTACACCTTTTCACCATATGTCGTTTTTCTTTTTGTTCATGGCCCAACATGATCATATATGCTCAGGAATAATAATGCTGTCACTCAGTTGTCTGCTGCATGACAATGGCCCCCTGTGCAGCACTGACTAATGGACAAAGACAAGATCCTTCATTAGGTAAAACGACCCGTCTCCACTCACTTCCTCTAAAATTTAAGTCAACCGGCACAGCGCCGTCACTAACCGGCTCATCTCATCTCATCTGGCTAATGAAGTGGTCAGTGGCGCCTTACAGATGTGCAAAGAGATGCCACTTACCTCTTTGCAGAAGACCGCCCGTGAACCGACATCTGTCACACCAGCGCCCCTCCCTTGTTTGTAATAGCGTGATTAACCTGTCACATCTTTCTACTGATGCTCATCCCCTTTGTTCTTTTTTTTATTATTTCATCACTGTTACACTACTCTTTCAGTCTACTCTGTTTAACTCACCCTCCGCGCGTATTTTCCTCCTTTCACTAGGTTAATGTGACCAGGGAAGACTTGCCCAATATAGAGCCTGTCTACCTGCGAAGCCTCGGGAAAGGAGACTGGTTCGGAGAGAAAGCTCTACAAGGGTAAGATTGTTCCTAATAACAATGCCTCTTTCAATTCAAATCTTCTGTTTTTCTGCTGTTTCTGTCTGCTTCTCACCCTCTTCCCTTCTGGTTTTCTCTAACAACCTTTCTGTAATATCCTCCCTCTTGTACTAAACGTGCATCTATCCATTTTAATTTGCTATCATCAGCCTCCAGCTCTTGTCTGTCCCTTTCCCCTCACTAACTGGTCCTGAGAGAAATGATAACTGGCTAAGTGTTAGGAAATTAAAGCCGAGCCACAAATTACACAACTTTAGGGCCTGATTCACTGCAGCTATTCCAGTCACACTTTATTTATCTCTAAATCACATTAAATATGTTTGGTCTGATTGTGTCAGACCAAACATGTAAGATCTATTTTACCTCCAAGCCCATTTACGTATAACAGCATAAATGAGGCCAAATACAATTTCTTATGCATCCTCCTCTTTTTAAAGTCTTTATTTGACAAATTAAATACAAAAATGTTCACGAGACTCACAACAATTATCAAGTAAGAAAAAATATTTTCGTAAATAGCTATTCAGAGATCTACAGGTTAAAAGCCATTGTTTTGAGTGGACTTCTGTGTTTGTCATACTGTCTGTGTACCCTAGCCAAAGACAATAATATCTGCATGTCCCTTGGATTCTTTTGTCTCTTCTTCTCATTGCCTGTCTCGGTTGCCATATCAAGGGCCCAATCTCCAATCTCTACACTCACAGACTGTGACTTGAAATCCCTGAGAGATAAGGGTTGTCCAACTGTCAAATAGCCAGGTGCTTTGGGGGGCTTTCTCGCCGATATCTTCAGCCCTCAGTCCGCATTTCTGCAGCCTTTGCCTGAGAGAATTTCCTGTAATAAATTGAATTGGGAGGTTTAACACAGGGTTACAAGGGGGGGGGGGGGGGTAGCGGGAAGCATATGAAACAGATATACACAGAAACGTTACCATTTAGGGATTTAAGTTACTCCCGGTTAAGAATTTTAACAATTGCTTATATCAGCTGTGTTGACGGAAACAAGCAAAATCCTTATCAGATAATTACCTCTCGTCTCACAAGGCAAGCATGTGGAAGACGTGACAAAGACATACAAAATAAAACCCCACTTGCAGCATATGTTGCCTAGTATTCAAACCACGTCATGCCTTTCTGCCTGTCGCACACCATTTACAAGGTGACGTCAGTCCCTGAGGGTTCACGGCTTAATGGCTCTCGTGGACGTTGGGATTGGGCCACAGACGTCTCCTTGGTGTCCCTGCGTTAAATAACGACTCTCTTTTATAAACACGTGTGTTGGTATTCGAGCATTGTAGCTGTTAGTCCAATGCAGGAGTGTATTTCAGTTGAGAGTGAGACTTGTAATGCAAACATGTACACGTTATATGTTGAGCTCTGATGATGAGCTGAGGCAGGTTGGAAGTAAGCAGGCGGTAAAGACCGTAGGGATCAGAGGAATCACAGCTGCTCCACTGCTAACATGCAGTGGTATCTGAGCTCTCAGATACTTTCACAGAAAGGACACTTCAGTGTAATAAAAACATTTTATATGGATCTGTCCTTAAAGCACCAGGGCCCGAGGGGATATTTTCACCCTGCTGTTTGTCCTGGGTTCTCAGGAGTACGGGGCTCTGGCCACAATGTTTTTTTGGGGCGGGGGGGGGGGGGGGGTGGGGGTTAGTGTATTATACCTGTGGGGGGGTCAGGTAGAGACAGAGGGCATATGTTCTCATGAGAGAACATTTGAATGTGTGCAAGCCCACAGCTGAGTGTCATGAAAGTATGAAAGTAATGAAGATATCGCCATCTTGTGGTCGCCGAAAGCTAAATCCCCTGATCTTCCATTCAAAAGCCCTTAACTATCACAAATTAACCCCTTTAAAACACAAAGAGACTTACATTTAACCAAAGCATTGTCCTCTGAAAAACAAATGCCAGCTTACAGGTTGTCAAGACTCTTTATCCTTTTTCTTTTTAAGGGGTACATTCCAGATGTTATTTGTGAGGATCAGCCCACAAATTTTTGGGCTTCTTCCCATAAGCAAAAAACCATTGGATATAAAAGACGACGCAGCATTACTATTCATGCAACATGAACCTGAACATGTGATGCCCAGGAAGCTCGATCTCTTGGAGGAGTAGGTTGCTCCGAAGAGACATTCGATACTTTTCACTGATGAGACGTGCTGTCTGATGAATGAGATCATGACACCGAGTACTTATTCATTATGGATTTAGCAGCTGTGCAACTTTTGGCTTAAACTTTTTACATTTTCCAGGAATTTAGTGATTTCAAATAATTATTATTGAAAAGAAAGACTGCAAACATCTCGATGTATCACACTGATGATTTTGTACATCCACACACACACACACAGAGTGTTAGATGGATTTGTCTGTATAAAATGATATATCAAACCTGTCCGTAATTTATTCATTATACTTGGTGTTACCCAGAATAACAGTGTGCCGTTTTGAGATGCACCTCAAAGCACCTTGAAGAGCATCTCGTGTTTTGTTTCATCAAGAAAAACATACCTTTTCTACATCCCACTAAAACAAAGTGTTCCTCCCCACCTCTGCATCTGCTTGCTATTGTCACCGTCTTGAGGCCTGACCGCCTTTTGTCTTGGAGTGTCTTAAGCGGGAAAGCCCCATTCAGCTACAGCTTTGATGGTCGAGCATGTCTCGTGCATTTACATGATTGAGATGTTGGCCGTCTTCTTCGGAGGCTTTTGATCAGAGGGCCCTTCTACGGGGCCATCTTTGTGATCAGAAGTTAACTGTGTGTGTCCTTGCTCATGAAACTCAATGGCCCGTACTCAACGGTGTCCATTCGAAGACTTCGCCTTTGATCTGCGAGAAGAACACATTTAAAAACCAAAGTGTGTTCTTCTACCAGCGACGGATATAATGATTTGGTTCGCGCTCGTCTCTGTGATGTGCGTGCATTGTTGTTGCCGAAGAAATATCACATTACATGTATTGTCTACAAGAGTAGTCCTCAGTGAGTTCTAATTCGGTGGATGGTCCTGAAAAAGAAAAAGTAGACGTGGTTACTGCGACGTCACCCATTGGTCTGTAGAACTGGACGAGTCACACAGCACCTTATGTGGTAGAGACCTTTAGTTCACAAGGTAGCCCTCCCTTCGTTATCGTCTATTTTGCTCTAAAAGAACTTCATGCTATATTTAAACGAGACTTGAAACTACTTGACCAAAAACATGTTTACTATTTGTTATAAAATGCCTTGTCGTCTTTCTATTGGATCAGTTGTACATATTTCAGTTATACGGTCTCTATACTTTACTCAATGCCATGACGGATTTTAGTTTCCTAATGAGTGAATGGTTCATTGTCTGTCTTATTGCTTAGTTTGGCCCATTTGGTTTGTTATTTTTGTCACATCTTTATCTTTATCTAATTAGTTTTTTTTTGTTGTCTTTTTTTTTTCTTATGTTGTATTGCTGTGAAGGCACCATGAATACAAAGATGGTGCATATAAAGGGATGGTTCCTACCAGAGTGAAAGCGCCTGGAAGAGAAGAATTTCTCTTCACATATAAAAAATGTCCGGTATGGAAAATTGGAACGTGGTCCTGCTTTGTAAAATAAGCAATTTTGAGGTTAATGGGAAAAAGCTGCACACTTACTGGCAGAGTCACCTGAATACCTCTCAGTTACAGAGTTGAAGCACGAATTATTAGCTGCACATCCCACAACCACCTCTTGTTCTCGCCCCGGCCCCGACCCCGTCTTTACTCCCCTCGCTGAAGTTCCGTAGCTACCCCTCCCCACCCCCCCACCCTCCCCCTCCCTCCCTCCTCAGCCTCCAAGGTTGTAGGATACTTTCATAACCCTCCTCCAGAGACACCAGATCACTGTCCAATTACTGCGTTCATTTCAAATATCTACTGGAAATCAACACCACACACATGCAGCTGCTCCGTGTGTGTCTTTGCTTGTGTGCATCTGCGTGTGGGTGTGTGGGTCTCTGTTTTCTCCAGCGTGTTTCTCGTTGCACTGCGAATAACAAGCGCGCAGCCTCCTTCATCCCGTTGGACGACTCGGGCACGGCAGTATGCAAAATGAATCATTCTGACACATGTTGTTTAGCGATCGTGTTTCTCATAAAACGTCGCTGGCATCAACACAATGGAACGCTAAGTTGTTTTCAGCCGCTCTGGAGCAGCAGGGAACAGGTGTAACAAGCTGCTCTCACACTGGAAACCCTCTAAAGGACAACTAAGCCTCATGACTATTTCAATGTAGCCCCAGTGTTGTGTTGTATTGTGTGTTTTTGTTCTATCGCCATGGTAAGTGAATGACACCAATTCTCTATGCTTTCTTTTATGAGATGCAGTAACCTACGTAGCACATTGTGGTTGTAACAGATTACGGTTGCCTGTTTTTGAATATGTGCCGTTTAGAAATTGTCCTGCGTATCCTTCTTAAACTGCAATTTATGACAGAAGCTATTTAAAATGATTTAAATCCACAGAGTTCTTGAATTTTCTACATATAAACACTCAGAATGTAATAAGTCATTTAGTTTCGTCCTTACATACAGTATTTGACATAAATTAAAAAGCTAACACTTTTCAGTTTTGGATCACGGTTTACGCTATCAATGCAATTACAACAAGATTCCAAGTAGAACAAAATCGACTCATAGTTAAATCACATTGACCATGTGTGGAATGGCACGGATAGGGTTCCCAAAATGACTCATCCCATTGAAAAATCATCCCCACTAACTGTCAATCATCACTCATCGTTCCCCAAACAACTCATCACGTAACCAACGTGGTCACCTTCATTCCACCCATTAGCCTGGTTGTGCAGTAAAGTGCACTTATTCACCTTTGAACTGTGCTGTGTTGGCCAACACAAGAACAGGCGGAAATTGTGTTTTAAGAGCGTGGCCACGAGCCATATGAGCCTATCAGACGTGGATGAAGCACTGCATTAGCCATGTTAGCGCGGGTCCCCCCCCCCTCTCACACACACTCCTCTGCACTCGTCTCCTCTGCGGTCCTCACCTTTCAAAACGTGTTGTTCCCCCGCCGGCTGTGGCCTTTATTCGTCGGGGGTGAGCAGAAAGGGCGAGGCGGGGGTCCCTGTGTGTGACTTGAAGCGGTGTGTCTGCGTGAGGGAAGGCAGAGGCAGTTGACACATGGCTCATTAAAAAGGCACATGACACATGTTTGAGTTGAGATCACACACAGAGACTGATCGCCAGCTACTGTCACTTAGCACTACAGCACTTAGATTTAATTGAATCAACTTCACGAATCGAGAGCAGAGTCTTGTTTTGACTTTTTTCATTTGCTCCCCAATGGGATAATGAATTCATCCGAGTTTTGAGGGGTCTTTTTTTCTTCTGAAAAAAATGAAATGTGGCATGGATTCATCTGCTCACGGGACGTCCCCTGAAGCATTTCCCGTCTTTACGCAATATCTTAAAGCACGTTAATGAGAAGAGCGCTACAATTGGATTGGAGATTGATGTGCGACCGGAGAGCGACAGCGGTGTCTTTTGTCGGAGGGCGGCCCGGGGCTGGTTCAGAGTTACAGCTCATCCCAGCGTGGGTGGGGGACCTTTCACGGAGCAGGATGGATTCTTGGGATACGGACTCTGAGGACTCACATGTTTGGGACGACTCATCGGAGGAGGACGAACTTGAAGTCAAATATAATAAAGAGTAATGCCAATCGTGCAGTGGTGTGTGTTGCCTAGTGACAGTACCTGTTTCATTGTGTTAGTGTGGCATTTATGGAGTGAATGAAGTTGAATAAGACATTATTGATATGCGGGTGTTACGTTTTTTACTTTTTCCATCAGCACTGGATCAAATGTGCCAATATTGCTTCTGTGCCTGATCCTGCTGTCTGATCTTTTTGTCCAGGGAGGACATAAGGACAGCCAACGTCATTGCAGCAGAGGCAGTCACCTGTCTGGTCATCGACAGAGAGTGAGTATCAACACAGTTTTCCCTTTACAAAACGTAATGACTGTTAAACATTATTTATCCTTTAAAAATATCTGCAACTGGGAGCCATGCAAAACAAGTCCTGAACTTCTGCTTTGCTCGCGATTATTTGTCAAACAAAGACAATTTCTTTGTGCTATCTTTACTCAGATATAAACATCAACCCACTTCTGCACATTATGGATGAACATGTCACACATTTAGTTGTCATTACTTTCAATTTTCAAACTCTAAAGACCAAGCTCTTGCGGAAACATCCAATTTATCCCACATGATCCAATAAGCAACATTTACACAAATTCAATGAATGTGATAAATTGTGAGATCCGCTTTCACTTCACCTCCGGTGTTTTGTTTGAGTGTCCTTTCACAACGTTTGGGAGTAATAAAAGGCGATCACGTCATCACCATCTTCTAATTCTCCAATCACACAAACTATTTTATTGCATTTTCTTTTTAAATGAGCGGATTTAAATGAACGTGTATGAAATCACAATTCAACTTTAGCAGAGAATTGCAATCGGTCCAAAATTTGCAGGAGAATTTCAAAGGTCCAACCCACATGTTCAGCTTTGCGTTGCAGTGGCACGGTTTGGCATTTGAACACAAAGTGTACCAGGTTTTTATAATGCATAAAAGTTGAATCAGTAAATAGTATTATACATGTAGTTTATCTCAGGTCACTGTCTTTGTATTGAGTCCTGTGGTGAGAATGAAGAGACAGATCGGATTGGGCTTGAGGAGGAGATGGTATCAGATTACGCAGGGCCTTCCTTTAGCCTCCAGAACACTGCATCCACAGATTGTGTGTGAGTGAGTCATCGAGCTCAGGTGGTTATAACGGCCTTTCATACGAGCAGCCAAATGCTCTCGCTACCCCTAAAACTAGCAAACCGCATGTGTGTTTTCATCTCCAGCCAAGACAGTAATGGTGCAGATCCCAAAGTATCGTATTCAAACCTTTTTTGTGCATGCTATTTGTTTTCTTTATGTCAGTGCATGTGTGCTTCGTCCAAACGAAAAAGTGCAGCTTCAGAGGTAAGATGAGGATGATTGCGGTAGCAGAGTGAGGACACAGAGACAGTTGGAAAGAGATTGGGAATGAAAACAAACGGCAGGGAGCCACCGATTCGCTACCACAATAGAAACCCTGAGCAACACTTTAAAGAAAAGGCGAGGCTGAAAGCGTCCCTGCTTACAGGCATTATGGTCTCAACAGGAGAAAGCCCCAGATGTATTACATCGTCTGGCTGACAGCTTGATGAGCCTCGTACGAAAACTGTCTCAGTTAGTTGTTCTTTTAGGCAGCCATACTCGAGATGGAAAAGAGCCGAGGCATAATAATTATTTTTCATGTACACGATCTCCCCCCGGGAGTGCAATTTTGGAGGATTTTATTTCAGCAAATTAGCTTGTTATGCTGCTTGTTATTCTGCAGTCAAGTTCTAATCATAAAAATGATTTAATGTTTATATCCGTTGTAGTCACACTAGTAATTATTATTTTGGTTCTGGTAAATCCAGCTAGAACATTGCTATATAAACTATTGTGATTCTATTATTGTTTCCCGAAAAGGAAATGGTTGGGCTGTTTCCTTTGTTAAATTAACAGAAGTACTAAAAGAATAGAAACTATTGTCACTGAATTTTATGTAATTTGTTCATCCTTCAGCAGCTTATTTGTAAATGCCGACTGATAAATATTTAATTGTAACAATTTGCTGCCTGTGTTTCAGTTCATTCAAGCACCTGATTGGAGGTTTGGAGGAGGTTTCCAGTAAAGGCCACGAGGATGCTGATGCCAAAGCCAAGTAAGGCAATTCCAATTATTTGTTATGTACAAATTAATTAAAATACCAACTATGCATATCTTTCTTTTTGCTTTGGGTTATGTCTCTTCTTTAAATCAATTAATTTTGATTTTTGAAAAAGTAATTTGTAGATTGAAAACACCCTGAAAACATTGTACCCCGTTGTGACTGCTCACCACCGGCAACCTCTTTTTAAAGAAACATGCTCATGGCAAAATGTATTGTGTCTTTGTAACCTTCACCTCTATTTCTGGAGGAATGGATATGTACTCTAATCACCGTCGCTATGGAAACAAGAGAATAGCACTATAGAAGGCACCTTGGTGGTGATGTGGGCATCTTGGGGTACAGGCAGCTACCTATTGGCATAATCTGATACCGCGCTCACTCGGTGCTGTGTAGTGAGTCAAGGTGACGAGAAACAGGAAACCGGTAATGACAAATTACAGAGGGCAAGAGAAGGAAAAAGAGGGATTTAGATGGAGGGACTGCAGGAAAAGAGAACCACACGGCTGACAAAGAAGACCAGACTTCCGTCCAATGCTTTGAGTCAGCAGCAGACTGCGAGTTGCAAGTCAGTGAAATGCAATTATCAAAGGGCCAAACATAACACCCTAGTCATTGGACAATTAGGAAAGGGAGAGGACAATGGGGGACGGGCATAATGAGAGGGGTCACATTGTTTTTTTGCCTGAGGCATTCGGTCCTGACCAGGTCCCCATCCTAGTGCAATAGAAAGAGACCTGCAGTATGCATTCTCCACCCCATCCCTCCCCAGGACTGTTGGGAAGCTAATTTAAGACTGATGTTATGCAAATGAGCGACACACCACGGCCATTTATGAACTAATAATCAACCCTATTTGCTCATCTAAAAATCTGCTCGCCAAAATCTGTCACATCAAAGCCTTTTCCATCCTGATGAGGGTCAGGAAATATTCTGTAATCTTATCAATACATCTGTGGAATGTCTTTAAAACTTTTTTTTTCCTCCAAACTTAAACTACAACATCCTTGGTTTGCATCTGTTCTGGGATAATACCACATTTCATTCTTGAACTTTCTCTCCTCTTATGTATCTCCTCTCCTTTCGTCTGTGTTGAAAAGGCGTAGAAGATTAAAATATACATTTTTTGTTATATTGTTTCCTGGTTCTCAAATTTAAATTGTGCCCCGAATTTTCTTATGAACCACTTTTCTTTTCAATACTGTCGATGAATGTTCTCAAATTGTAGCATTAAGTATAACTATAAAAACTATTTTAAATAAAAAAATATCAAAATATAGATAGAAAATTTGAACCCAATATGACTCAGCGTGCACTCTGTCTCTTGAGCTGGCAGTTCAATAAGAGTCAGGTCCCTTGAGTCAGGCTAGACCGAAGGAAATGAGAACAATATCACACACACACACTCACACATACTTAGACACATGGGGATTGCATCATTTTTTATGATCTCATCCGTTCACTGACACAGATTATAACCACTGGGGCGCTATTTGACCTGTATAGGAAGAGTTATTGCGTTGCTAGTAACAGATGTGCCATCTAACAGAAATACATTACAGTTCAATACCCAATGTCCCTGACTTAGCATAAAGGCTATTTATCATCTACAGATGCTTTGCCTGATGTCGTTTGGAAAAAAGAATACACACACTGTATGTACGATTGTGAAAAATCTAATACTGTTTCATGGAAAAAACATGATTTGAGGATGCAGCTGAGCTCAAAAAATCTACACAAGTTTTGGGTTGCTGATTTTTCAAAATACGACACAATCGACCCAATTCATTGCCGTGATTTTGTTAACTTCACCAGCTGGTTTCAAGGGTTGTCTCTTTGTTCACTTAAAGGAGGGTTCATCTTTAGCCCAGAAGGCCGTAAATGGGTTGAATATTTCTTTTTGTACAGGTATTTTCTCCGCACCTTCACACTCTTTATGGAGCAATGCCGCCATCTGTTGGCCGGATTGTACTATTACTTTAAAACCGTTGAAATAGCCGATGCAATGTAAAATGATCCACTCATTCCTGACCCTTTATATGGGGACAGGATTTACCAGCCTCCCTCGTTATGGGCCCTCGTTGGTCAGTATACCCACGTGTGAGGCATCGCGACCGCCTTAGCAATCCCAACCCAAATAAAGGACGGCATGTGTCTCCCCACCCATTTGTTAAGCAGAGAGCATTTGGGGATTTAGAGAGAAGATAAGCTCCAAATGTTACATGCTAGCAGTAGTGCCTTTTGAAATATAAATAAACAGTGATTGTCCTTGGAAACCGATGTGTCATTTTCCATTTTATTTGTCAAATTTGAACCCAGAACTGAGGGATTGTGCTTTTATGTTAACAAACAAGACTTAACTTAACAACTATATCCGTGGATTTTTTGCTAAATGTCCACCGGTGGACTACGGCTGTGCTGCTTTTGGTCGACATGAACGAGAAGACGTTTGACTGACAGACTGACCCAGAAAGGTCTGTCCAACAGTCGTAAACCCACTGATCCAGAGACTGAGCTGACAAAACTCTGTCTGCATCAAACAATAGCCGGAGAATGACACACGGCCTCTGGGGATAAAGGTCATACGCACGTGGAAGCCGTTTTTTTGTGATGGCAGGTCTGCAGTGCCAAGTCAAATTCCTTACATTTACATTTTCCTGATGATGTGGTGATTGGACGTATGTCTTCAGAGCCAGACGAGTAGTGAGCTGGTGTTGCAGACGACCCGTCTTTATTTTGTTTCTATCAAGACTGGGAGAAGACAGTAGGTGTTCATCAACAGGTTAACGTGGTCTACCAGACGACTTACCTCAAACACGTCGTGTTCCAATTGACACGATCCACGTCCTCAATAACATCCTTGTTAGATCACAATGACGTAAATCCTCTAAGATTTGCAAATAAATGAGCACACAGGTATTTGGCCTCAGGTTGTTGACAGTGGATTATCTCCTCTTTCATCGTTCAGCTCATCTCTGATCCTTCGACTATTCTGTCTTGTTTTCCCCCGTCGCCACAGATACGAAGCGGAGAATGCATTTTTCTTCAACCTCAACCTCGCCGACTTCAACATCATCGACACTCTGGGAGTCGGCGGATTTGGCCGCGTTGAGCTGGTGGGGGGGAACGCCGCCCATCTACAGTAATGCCTTCACAATCATCTCAGCAGCCCGTCTTTGTACCTGAAACCCTCCCCGTTACTCGCCGCAGGTTCAGCTCAAGAGCGACGAGAACAAAACCTTCGCAATGAAGATCCTGAAGAAGCGGCACATTGTCGACACGAGGCAGCAGGAGCACATTCGTTCAGAGAAACTCATCATGCAGGAGGCCCACTCTGACTTCATCGTTAGGTACACCGCCCCTGAGCAGCTTCATTGACTGCTCTTTCCATACGTGTCACAAGGATCGGTGCTTTAGGGTGTCAGAGGACCTGATTCTTTGTGACCGTTGTGCTTTCAGACTCTACAGAACATTCAAGGACAGCAAGTACCTCTACATGTTGATGGAGGCGTGTTTAGGAGGAGAGCTGTGGACCATTCTTCGTGACCGGTAAGCTCCTTTTCACCGCGTCAGATAGGAGGGAATTGTTTTGGCTCCGTCATATTTCAGTTAATGTGAGCGATACCAACCATAAGTGCCGCAACGCAAATAGAGTTTCAGTTACAGTAATGGTATGAAACACCTCAATCATCTGTTGTCTTTCCAGGGGTTCATTTGAGGACTCAACCACCAGGTTTTACACGGCGTGTGTGGTGGAGGCCTTTGCCTACCTGCATTCCAAAGGAATCATCTACAGAGACCTCAAACCAGAGAACCTTATTTTGGACCACAGAGGATATGCCAAACTGGTGAGAGAGCGTTGATGGGTTACCACTAAAAGACATTCTGCGTCTCTTGTCAGAGAAATTTCATCGTCCTATGTTTTTACCATGAAGGATCAAATTATATGAACACTTATGTTGGCAGTAAATTAAAGTTTAATTACAGTATAAAAGAAAGGTTGTGTTCTTTGGTGTGCAGCCACTCTCCTCTCTCCTGCTGGATGAATACATTTTCTTGCTTTTGGCCGATCAGCGACCAGCTGCTTAACTCTTTCCAATCCCAAAAGCATGAGAATACCACGTTCCACAACGTAGCGATTACGCGTTTTGCAGTGAGACTGGGTAGCTCTTTCTCCTGTCAAAGCATCAAGTGAAAACAATAATACTGAGATGATTGTACCCTTTCCATCAACATACAAAATAGTCTACGTGATCCGATGCAAATTAGGAACAAAAAATCACAACACAAATTCATATTCCTGTTCTGACTGACGGAACAAAGTCTTTCTCCTTCTTCTTAGGTCGACTTTGGCTTCGCCAAGAAGATCGGATTCGGAAAGAAAACGTGGACCTTCTGCGGAACGCCGGAGTATGTAGCACCAGAGATCATTCTGAACAAGGGCCATGACATCTCAGCCGACTACTGGTCTCTGGGAATCCTCATGTTTGAGCTCTTAACTGGCAGGTACACGCAGGCCCGGGCATGTCCATAAAACTAATGTCTTAAATAAACCGTGTGGTATAAAACTGCAGGAATAAAATTGTCAATACCGACAATGTTTGCCTCTGTTTTGCAGCCCTCCATTCTCTGGCCCGGATCCCATGAAAACCTACAACATCATCTTGAGAGGAATCGACATGATAGAATTTCCAAAGAAAATTACCAAAAATGCTGGCAACCTAATTAAAAAGCTATGCAGGTGAGTGTCTGCGCTTCCAGCTGTAGTTGAAGCTCAGAATTTCGCTTAAATGTTCTGTATGCTGAAACATCAAATGTTTTATTATTTTTTATGGCAGGGATAATCCTTCTGAACGACTGGGAAACTTGAAAAATGGTGTCAAAGACATTCAAAAGCACAAGTATGTCCTTAAATCGATTTATTATATATCATGTGTCACATGTTATGTATTCATTTTATTGATTAATAGTAAAGTAGTAAAATAAGACATTTGGTTTTTCCTGTAGATGGTTTGAGGGCTTTAACTGGGAGGGCTTGAAGAAGGGGACATTGACCCCTCCTATCGTCCCTAATGTAAGTGCACGATGACGATACGCTTCATCTTTCTTTTCTAATTGCTCTCCTGCAATCAATTTGGTATTCAAAACATTGTCCGCCTGTTTAGTTGTTCACAGAACAATTCTTCTGCCTTTCCACCAGGTGACATCAGCCGTAGACACAAGTAACTTTGACAGCTTCCCAGAGGACAACGAGGACCCGCCTCCTGACGACAACTCCGGCTGGGACGTTGATTTTTGAAGTCCTCCTCTCGACTTTAAACCTAAAGAAACTCTTCTTTTGTTGGCTTTGAGGCCGTCTTGAGGACATGGCTGAGTTCTGAGAAGAAAGAAAAACAGAAAGAGAAGAAAAACTGTTTAAAAAAGAAAGAGAGGATATGGAAAGTAAGATAAACGGATGGATGGGAAACCCTCTGGGTCACCGATATGCCTTTATTTCACTGTGGCTCTAGAACAAGCATTTATAATGGGACTGCTGTAGCACTTCTTCTGTGTTTTCTTACACTCGGCTCTAAAGGCAAAGAAAGTGCAGGGATACACACATATACACACAAATCAGGCTGACAATGGAGCCAGCGTTACCCTTTTGAAACAGTGAAAGATGTTTTAGCGGGTGGAAGTATGTTAGATAGCTGTCTAAGTTTTGGTTCTATGATAAAGAAGAAATTGAGAAATGTGGACCGCTCAAAAAAGAGAGGAAGCTGATTACATTTTTTTTTCTGGGTTGTTTTTCTCTGCAATGTTTGGTGAAATGTGTGGAGAGTCTAAGATGTCCCTGCAGTTGCTCCCTGGTTTGTGACACTGCAGCTGCTTGCTGCAATCTCTTTCAAGATATCCATACACTACAGTTTGCAAGTAAAACTGGTATTAAGTGCTCAAGACTAACCTGAATGTCTCGGATGTTGTTCTGATTTAACATCCTCATGGCATACTGCATGCATGGAACATGGTATTTGAATTTACGTTCACACACGACCACACCATATTCAAATACTTTCTATGAGATTAACTTGCCGTGAAAAGCACAAACACTTTGCTTTCAGTGGAAAAAGACGTGACTCTTAAAAGTGCCCTACTTAATATTTAATGACACCAACACACATTAAACATCAGCTGATTATTTTATGAAGCAATCTGTCATTATGCACATAAGACCATTAACTGAAAGAAAATAGCAGTGAAATCTAATTTCAATTTGATTGGATACATTTTTTGTTATTTAATAGGCTTTTAATTACTCAAATGAATGTTTCTCTATGCTTTCTGTATACTTCTTCATTTTATTTTAAAGTCACCCAAATGCCTCGTCCTCAGTATGCGCCTGTATATTTCTGAAATAACTGTGAACAAGGTTTTAATGTCTTCGGTGCTGTTATTGATAAATTATAGTTAAGCGATGGTGAAATGACAGTACTGGCTTTTGTTTTGTAAAGTGTTTCTTTGTGCTCTATTCCTTTGTGACGTACTTAACTTCCCTCTTTAGAAAATTTGAGACTTGTGTCCATTTGTAAATTTGAGTGAAGATTTGTTTGAAATCACTTGACACCATGTGACATTGTGCTACACGGCATTCTCAAGGTTTTTAACGAAGTCGCATTCATCCATATATACATTAACAATTCTCGTCAAGCCAACATACCAGATTCCCATTATCATGAGACTATTTAGACTTAAATTCATCTTTAAGAAATGTCCTCTAAACGCAAAGAATGAGGCGGATTTATTGATTTGAACACACAACCTGGACCACTAGCTCCATGATCTCGCACCCAGCTCATCACCTCTCATGAAAAAAAAATCAGAGCATAAAGTCTGCAGAAATGCAAGTGCCTTAAATCAATGGCATAGAAAATGAACATCACAAGTCCTATTTGATGCTGCATGAACACATATACACCTCAGAAACCTATGTGTCCTCTTAGATGGCTGCTTCTCATCCTTTGGTTATAGCTAATAAATTCATGAATCACCACGGAAAATTTATTTTATTTGATGGCTGACAAAACATCAGAAATACATACTTTCTGCTTTTGATTTCTCTTAACGGGAGCATTGCTATTTGAAATTATGGAGAACAAATAGATCAAACCTGTTGTTGCTGCAATGACATGCCTGTCTCTACAATCCCAAATGGCCTTATGTAGTCAACCACAAGTGGCCATATATAAAGTGAACCACGAATCACAGCTCTGTTTCGGTCATGAAAGCATGTAGAGATGGCAAGAATGACTTACAGTTTGGAACATTTCACAGGTTGGAAAGCAACATCCCTTTGCAGTGCTGACAATCATTGATGGTATGATGGCATTTAATTACGATGTATCGTCATCCAAATTCTCATTTTATTACAGCTTCAACTCATATTTCATCACCTACATTTATATGATATAAACCATGGGATAATGTTGATGCAGAGCTAAGAAATAATAGTTCTGTGGGTGTACCATAAGTATTTTGCTGTATTAAGGGCGGTTTATGTTTATCACTAAGCCTTATGTATGCCATCACTTTACAAACCACTGGTCGTCAGTCTTTTATCAACCGCCTTCTGCGACGTGACCTGATATATGCCTTGTTTTGTGTTGTTTATTCTGCTGTGAATTAAGTTTGCAGAGTGCCACCTGTAAGATTTTTAAAATTATAGAGTAAAAACAATACTTTTGAGTGCTGTCTGTCTCTTTCTTGTTTGGAACCACTCGAACGAGTGACCCAAAGTGTGCGCCGTGGAGACGTTACAGTTACAGTTCGTGGCCGCAAGAGGGAGCTGCAGGGGAGACGGAACTCTCCAGCACAGCCCCATGTGAACCGGTCGCCTGAGAGCTAATCTTCGGCCCTTGAGTTAATGTCATCCACTTACTAGTAAGTGCGGATGATTCAGCTTCTCTGGTCTCGGTGTTATTCGCACAACAAATCTGTTTTGGGGTCAGGGAAACGGCTTCAGCCATAACAACAGGGTGACACCTCTGCCAGATCAAAGGGGATCAAAGTGCATCAAAGGGGCTCACCTCACCAGCTCTGACATTTAGTAAAGCGGAGATAAAAGCTCCACTTCAAAAGACGTACAGCAATTCAGACGCGCAAAGTGCTGCAGCCTGTTTGTCGGCTGTCTATGGCGCATCTCTCCGGCGCATATGCGCGCACTCACTCTCACACACACACACACACACACACACACACACACACACACACACACACACACACACACACACACGGACGGACACACACACACACACACACACGCACACACACACACGCACACACACAATCAACATAATCACACACAAACGTGAGCTACGCGACCAGCAGATGACGTCCAAGTGCCAAGATATCTTCATACACTAAATGGCTCGTTTCCATCGCGGACGTCGGCACCTGTGTTCCTCGGCGTGTCGGATTGAGCTGTACGCGCAGTTTTTTTTTAACATACCTGCAAAACTTAAAAAAAAATCTATAGGCTATAGGCCTATAACAAACCTAAATCAAACTGGTTTTAGTAGTTTAAAAAAACGGGGTGCGCCCCCCCCCCCATGTAAGAAAGAGGGCCCGTTTCTTAGGAGCCCAAAGGGTCAAAGAGCGGGACGGATCAGAGTTGCCTTTAATCTCAATGTGCCAGTCAAGCCTGAAAGGCCTCGCCGCGGAAGTCCATTAATTCGGTAAACTTTTCACACCCCTTAATGGTTTGCATATCCCGCACATTGATGTCCGCACTGGTGTAATCAAGCACACTTTGGAGGATAATTGCCCCCTTTGCAATCAGAAGGATCAAATGAAGTAGACCCAGTTAATCGACGCTAGTAACTTCAATCACTGTCTTCAGCCGAAGGGTTGTAGGCTACTTGAATGTCAAAGAAGAGACTGGCTTTTTGAGTTTTTGTCGCAGCAATAGAAATCAGAAAGAAAAAAAAATCTCATAATTTGAATAACTTATCTCAAAAACACGAAATAAATGTGTTAAAGATGTTAAATTCGTAAACAAAAGCAACCATAACATATAGGAATTAAATCAATGAGGCGAGTCTCACATTTAATGTTCAAATACATCTCTTGGGTCTGTGCTGAAACAGAGCAAAAGGCACTAAACCGGTGGACCTTCAAAGCAAATGAAAAAAAATCCTGTTTGCACATCATTTGTTTTTGCCTTTGTGATGGGCACTGGGACTTGGCAGGTCATTATCATTACACACACATTGTAAAAGGCAGTCATGTGCGGCTGGAATGGATGACCATTTCCGTACAGTGCCCCAATGTCTCTTTGAAATTCCACCCCTCCGCCTTTGTTGTGCACAGCGAGGGGCGGGAGGACAAACAGGTCCGCGCGTATAAAGAGATCATCCCAGCACTCTGAGTCAGGAGGCTCCGAAAGCATCGCGCCGACGACTCTTCTGGAAACGGATTCAAGGGCCCTTTTGGACTTTGTCAGGCAGTCTCTTTTTTTTTTTACAGCAAAACAAACGGTGTCTTTTTCCTTGTTTTGGCAACAAAGCAGAATTTCAACAGGAGAATCATGCACTTCACGTCGGCGCATCGCTTCTTGGCTGTCTATCTCACTCTGTTTGGATACCTTGGGGACGTTTACGCAGGGGCAGTCCTGGTAAACTCCAATGCCATCAAAAACTTGCCCGGTACTTCGGCCGGCAAAGGCGCCGAAACTGTCAGTCCGACTCCGCGCACCTCGCCCCCCGGTAGCCTGGGACACAAATTACCCGCGGACACCTTACAGGTAATTTACCCCTCGCGTGCGTAAAAGTCCGTTTTAGCGCGCCATATAAAGTCACGCTTGTGCATGTTCCACACGTAATCATTTAATATTTCAATGGCACGATCCGTTTGTTTCTCCCAAACTTTAGCAGTCAGGTGTTTGCACAGATGATGAAGACTGTGACGGTGATGAATTCTGCAACGACGCCCGCGGCGCCTGTCTGCCCTGCCGTAAGAGCCGGAAGCGTTGCGCACGGGACTCCATGTGTTGCGCAGGAAACCGGTGCAGCAATGGTAAGCCGAGGCATCCCATCCGAAATATCAAAAGACATTCGTACCAGACCAAGTTGTCGATGATTCTGATACGTTTGGGAAAGTTTGCTTGTATTCATAATGTTTGCCTTGCCAATGATTTCAATTTCGTATCAAGTATAGACCCTAACAACATGTATTTATTTTTTAACCTTTCTATAGGCGTTTGCCAGGCAAATGACATCGATGGTACAGATGCATCTATCATAACTGGCGGGAACAAACACAATAAGACCATGGAGCATCACGCCAAGAAACCTCCCACGTCCCACAGCAATCAGCTCCATGCTGCAAAAGGTGAGCATCCCCTTTAGGATATAA